TATATACAAAATCAGCACAGTGAATTTGTAAGTAGCAGTATAATTTTTTATTTTCCCAAGTTCCCAGAACCGAAGGGGCTTTCATGTCATTCTGTCAGTCAGAAACAAAAAGTGTATTGTACAGTGTTAGCCAGGAACAAATTCTGACTTGAACAGGGCAGAAGTATTGTCAACAGGATACCTTTGATGGCTAACTAAAGAAAAAAGACTTTGTATAATGTAAGCCTTGGTACAGCAGGAATTATTTGCCATGCATATGAGCAGATGAAAGCTGAAATGGTAATACAAAATAAATACACAATGTGAACAAAGATGTTATGTTCTAATAAAATGCAAATATAATAGAAATAATTATTTTTACATTGGTGCAGTAGTCTTTCCTTTCAAACCCTTCAAACAAAGGTTTCCGTGTGTTGGCAATAGTTTATCTGGTCCACAGTAAGGTGTGTAGTTATAAGAGCGAACAGCTCTGTGAACATCTATGGGGTTTATTCACGAAGCAGCCGAAGGATCTAGCCGTAGCTTCTGCAGATCCTTCGGCTAGCTTCGGCCCCAGGACCCCTTCGGTTCAGTAGAACTGAAGGGGTGCTGTACGGGCTATTCACTATAGCCCGTACAGCTCCCGAACGTGGCCGAGCGGCTCAGTCGAGCCGAACGCATATGCCTCGGCTCGGCTGAGCAACCTTTTCCCAAGTTCCCGGAACCGAAGGAACCCGATGTACGGCTGATTTCAGCCGATATACGGTTGAAATCAGCCGTACCAGCCTGAAGTGAATAGCCGAACAGCGTTCGGCTCACTTCACTTCAGGGCAGTCTTTCACTCGGCTGCCTATGGAAGCTTAGTGAATAGACCCCTATGTTTTTGATTTGCACCAAATTATGGCCACTAGATGGAGTCCAGGAACATAGGAATTCCAGATGCTCCTCTGCTCCATCTAGTGGTCATATGTGGTGCAAATCAAAAGGTCAGATTTTCACTGAGTGAACAGCACTGCAAACATTTTATAAATACACCCATAGTCTTGTATTTTATTTTAGTTTTTTAAGAAAAACCTTTCTTGAGAATACGGGTTGCCTGGCTGTCATGCGGACCCATTGGCTTCAATACTTTGATTGGATCAAGTATGTGGATAAGGACATTCACACTTGATTTCAGTTGTGACATTGCTTAAACCGTTTAGAACTCAGCATAACGGAAAGGCAGCTGGCATTTTCGGGTGCTAGTAAGAAATGGCAGCCACCAGGAAAACATTTCTAGGTTTCACATAGGGGTTTGCTAAAGGAGTTTAGGATGTTAAGACAGGAAAGTGAATGACTGTAAATAAGATGAACACGTGTTCACTTTGATTACCCAATCATGTGGGAGGGAATAAAAAAAGCCTTTTCTGAATGTCCTCCTTACGTTAACACCCCCCCTCCATAAGCCTAACACTAACATTAAATCCAACACCTTAACCATGCCTTAAACTATATTTAAACCCCATCACCCCCAGAGGACCCCCTATTCTGTATGTTTTTTAAAAATATATATACTTACCTTTTTCAGATATCTTTAATCCGATCATGTGACACAATGGGTCTTCTTCCTCTTTACCTCTTCCATGTCCCAAGGCGGCCCTCTGTTAATTTAGGGAGTCATGCTGAAGTGAGAGCGCCGCTCTCTATTTCAGTACACTATAAATAAAGGGAGTCATGGTGACACCCCCTTAGTGGATGGGGCCAGAATACCCAGCATTCATAGAATGTCCACAGTTTTCCAGGTTGAAGACCTGTGTCTTGGAATTATCTTCTTTAAGGGAACATGTGTTAAAAACAAGCAGAAGTATTTGTCTGAATACTGCATCAAAAACTGTGCAGTGTATAAACAGAAAGCTAATAATATTTCTGCATCAGCCTCACCTCACTCAAAATTACGGCATGGTGTTCCCCTTTAAATTCACAAGCCTTTTTGGAAAACAAAATGTGAAAGCTCTTTTGGTTTTGGCCAGCAATAACTATGCCTTGTGTTCAGTCTTGTGGATTTATTTGCTGCTGCTAACAAATGTAATAGGATCACATTTTTTATTTCATCTCTCTGCAGCTGTTGTTTACTGGTATGATACAGTTTTTATTCTGACAGTATTTGCTGAGAGACAATGTATTGCATGTGTGCGATCATCAAGATGTAGTAAAGCTTTACTAACCATAAAAATGCTACATTTTTAATAATGCAAATGTTTCTGATTGTGATCAGAGGGGATATATTGGAGTTACGTCAGTAATCGAGAAGAAATTTATTTTGTGGATAAAGCAGACATTTCATACAAGCACAAAGCAGCTGGTGTTTTCAGCCACTTTGTCTTGCAAGCTCCTGTAAAAAATGAATAACCTCTCCTCAACTGTACATTACAATATAAAGTCCAACATCTGCTGCGATGCAAAGTTATTGTGGGTTATGCGTTTATATTTATGGTGGTTGTTTGTGGATCATTCTATGAGGGGGAACATATTCTAAATCCTTTAAAGGAAACTTGTACTGAAGAAATATGGAGACTGTGTTTGCTGATCTCTCCTCCTAGTTTCTTGACCATCATTCTGATCCATTGACTTCATCACAAGAAACATTTCCCAGGAAATTCTGACTTCACCCTCACTTTCCTACACTTTTTTTTAAGATGCTTTTTTATTATTAGTAGTAAAAAAACTTGTGCAAAACAGTCATACAAAACAAAAAGAAGAAGAAAACTAGGTCAACACAACCTAGCAATAGACATACAACCATAAGGCTAAAGATTCACAATTAAGTTACAGTGTAAGTACACAAATTGCAAGGTTAAGCATCAACTGCTGTCAGTACATATAATAGAATCAGCAAGGGATACAAGAACACCAGGGTATGATGCCAAATTACAAGTTACAATAATGAGGGATCAACAGTCGTGGTAGTAGAGGTTACCCATGGGCCCCAGATGCGCTCAAAGCACTGCGGGTTGCCTCTCTGTTCATAGGTAAGCTTATGTCTGAGCTCTGTCTGAGCTCATGCCTCTTTCACTCTGCTCTCTCCTCCTACCAAACATGTTTTTTTAGACAGTACATTAGGGCTGAAGCACAACTGACTGACTCATTGAATTCCTGTCTCTCTTAGTCTAAACTCAATGCAAAGTCAAATTCAGGAGTTCACCTTTAAATTGTTATTTAATCTTCTACTTTTTTAATGCCTCAAAGAAAATATAAAATAAAAGTAATATACTCCTCTAAGTATTATATGAATGCTCTTAAAATACTGTCTAGCTGATGTCTGTAGACAATGTGGAATGTGGATGATAAATACTGATGATTAATGCCTCTTACAGAATAGGCTTGCAATACAAACTGTAGTTTTAAATCTATACTAGTTCAGCTTTACCATCTGGTTTTCGTTTTCTATGAATCATCTGGACACAATAAAGATTTCTGAAGATGTAATTGTATTGCGCTCAGGGTAAATGTCCATATGTGTGTGGTTGCGTTGCAATAAGATCCATATGTCTATTTCCTTTCCAGGAAAAGGATGATAGGGAAGCAATGTAAAAGCCTGCTGATAGTCTCCTAGGCGAAAGCATAAATTAGACACCAGGCTGACTTCAGGCTAATACAGTAGCTGCTAGATTTTCCACTGAGAAAATGGTTGATAAACTGGAAATCTGTAGTCACATCCTGATATTACCGTGACTATGATGAATGTTGTGCTGTCAACAAACAGAAGGTTCATATATTCATCAATGTGCTTATCATGCGCACAGTTTCTCGGATTCAACACTGGCTCTCATGAACTAGGCTTATAATTGGTCTGAAAATTCCTTATAATCCTTCAGAAAGAACACGAGTCTGTGGCCAGACTAATACTGACTAGGTCTATTCAGCCTACCACTCCCATGTTTTCTCCAGCACTATCAGTGGATGGAAAATGATGATAATAAAAATAAAGTCTATGACTATCCAGCAATTACAAACTTTCCATAGTCCCTGTCTACCTGTAAGAATGCCTCATAGTTTGTCTGCAACATTCATTTTACCCAATAACACTAATTAGGAAAGTGCTAATGCAAAGTCTTAATCCTAATCCAAATTTTAAAGCACTAAATTCATTTTTGTCTTCCCTGTATGTACTCCTTCCCAATGTACCGGCCGATCTATCTAAATTATCCATACTTTTCCAGTTTTGCTGAGAGCTGCAGTGCATAGAAGCATTTTTATTGTCTGAACAGAAACCACAGAGCTCCTATTCACGAATAAGCTTCTCCAACAAACTTCTCTGTATTGCACAGCTAAAGATATGGCAACTAGTGGATGTAGTATACTTGGACTTTGTTCCATTAAAATCAGATAAGGATAGACGCACTCAATGCAGATGAAGATCAAATATGCATGTATGTTGTTTTGGGGTCATCTGCCCATTTTGTGTTAACATTAACAAGTTGAATGTCATTACCAGTGAGTGTGGACTCCATGGTACTGTCTTCGGTTTGTATAATTACTACATTAGAATGGGGTTCGCTGCAGAAGTGGACTAAATAACCAGAGTCTAGGACTGTGCACAGTTGAGTGACTAAACTTGTCCTTCTAACCATTTGGCTTATGTGCTGCATATGTTTCATTCCATTAGAGTGCTATCTGTTGTATTTCTTCATCTACATTGAAACAGAGGTGAATTGACTCACATTTTGTAAACTGCACTGTATGTCAGAATTATGTAGAATGTAACAGAGAGTGAATTAATTTGAAGAACATTAAACAAAATGATATTGTTATACTGAAGCTAAGGCAGTATAGTAAGCTGCAAAAGACATAATATATCATCATTTGTATGGTAGAAAATGTATTGGAAAACACACAACCTAAGCTGTACCCTTTATGTGTGCTAAAGATGGATTGCTAATTAAAGGTTACAAGGGAATCTGACATTTTTATGACTCTATATAGCTTATATTAATAACCACAATTGCTGTTTATTCCTGTAGGAGAATCACTGAGATGACAGATTCTATATGAAGGGGCTAAGGCAAATCTTCCCATCCAGAAGAAAAAAGGGAAAGATCCATTGGAAAACTTCTCTACCATGGATAGACTACTGAACCTGCCCATGGACCTCAGAGATTTGCTGAGGACCATTAGGCTGAAGGCCAAGTATGCTCTCTTCCTGGTCTTTGTGGTGGTGCTGGTCATCATTGAGAAGGAAAACAAGATCATCTCAAAGTAAGACATTATGAAACAGTTTAAGTGATGAACAGACACTGCCTGTTGCACATATGTAAATCAATGTAATAGAAGTATGCTTGGCCTTATATAAGATCATATCTTGCAGAACTATCGGAGTTCCTGAAAGTAAAATCCCATTTATTATGGACAAGGCAGAGAAAATTGAATTTGTTGTTATTATATTATTATTATACAGGATTTATATAGCGCCAACAGTTTGTGCAGCGCTTTACAATATAAGGAAGACATTACAATCACAAAACAATTCAAGACAAGATGGTAAGGAGGGCCCTACCCGTGAGTGTTATGGGAAGAAATACTTTCATTTATATATTTTTTTACAGGGATGACAAAGGTATTGTGCTTGGGCATGATTACAAGGCAGAGAAGCAGATTAAATCTGAAGAGAGCCTTAAAAGATATAAATCATTATATTTAAAAGTGACCATGTTTTTATTTAAGAATATGTAGACCAACACATTTCTAGGGCAAACTTTCAGGGCCTTTCATCTTTATTAGGGCTGTTTAAAACTAAACTTATATGTTAAAGACCACTTGGGGGTCAGTAGGAGAGCAATGCTGGGTAACAATTGTAGTTGCACTTGCTCACAGAGACAGAAATGCAGAGTTTATGGGCAAATGTAGGATTCAGTAACATACATAACCAACATTAGACAGCTCTTCTTTGCTCAGTTCAAATAGAACCTGGAGCAGAAAGGATCAGTGATAAGTTCTCTCAAGCTAACAAGCAATGCTTACAGCAGAACCTTCTTTGGACCACCTCTTTAAATGAACTGTTGATTTCCAGTGAATTCTATTTGAACACCAAAGGTTGCTATACCCTTACAAGGGATTATTTACACTGCCATTTATAACGCAATATGTAAGGGGATCCTTCATTAGTTTCTTGTAATGTGAAAGGGTACAGTCAGCTTGATAAAAAAAACAAAGCGCCGCATCCATGTGTAAAAACTTTTTAATAGAACAGGTTAGTAAACAACAGTTATAAGTACTCACAATTATAAATCTCAACACACGCGTCAAAGAAGCCACAAGTAGAGTGTCCAAGGAATGTTCCGCTCCGACTGCGTGCTAAAAAGATGCCTCCGGTCACATCAACGACCACCAGTTGCTTAGGCTGGATTTACGCGTTTCAGGGGCATCACATCGTGATTCTGAGAAAGGGGATGTGCCCCTGAAAAGTGTATATCCAGCCTAAGTAACCGGTGGTCATTGATGTGAGTGGAGGAAGCTTTTTAGCACGCAGTCGGAGCGGAACATTCCTTGGATACTGTATTTGTGGCTTCTTTGACGCCGTGTTGAGATTTATAATTGTGAGTACTTATAACCCTGGGTTATTGTTCTATTAACACATGGAGGCGGCACTTTGTTGTTTTTATCTTCTATGTATATGACAGGAACCCCAGAGTCTTCTGATGAGCAGCCCTCTCCCTCTACTAAAGTGTGTGAAAGAAAGAACGACTACTTCTGGATGGTGTGACGACAACCATCTAACACCAAGAGTTAAACTAACTTTTTATCTGACTTGGAAATTACAGCAAGCTTGATTTGGGTGCCACCATGTGCAAAATAGACACTTTCTATAGGCTAAAATGAAATCCTGTTAGAGAGCCCAATGGATCCAACAAGAATGTGACACAAGAACATTCAGATGTGACAAAGTGCACAACAGACCAAGCTATGCTTAGTGCAGGTATGCCAATGATGTAATGTAAATACATGGCATAATAAAGTTGTATTTTTTTGGAGTGTTCATTTCTCACTTCCTAAATTCTAAACATATCCTAGGTTTTTCTGCTTTTACTAAAAGATGTGAACACACAAAGTGAATGCAGTAGGATGCATGCATAAAATCAACATTAATTTACTATAATTTAGGAGAAAACTTTTTAAATGCCTGTGTGTTTGGGCCTTAACTAATTAGTATAGTGTAATTTTTGCTTGTCACTGTCTTCAGATCTTTCCCTGGGAAAGATGTGACTTGTTCTGGGAAATATAGCCTAGAGATGCTGAAAGATTGGCCACTGCAGCTGCAAGCAAAATTAATTTCCTGTTAAGCTCAAAATAGTTAAGTGAATGTTGAGGGACTGCCCAGTTTATTTTGTTACTCTTTTAGCTAGTAGTGACTCACTGTCATCTACAATGATGTGTTCAGAAACACATGAAACTACTCAGCTGCTAATTAGAATACAGTTTATATAAATAAATGACATATCAGTTATCTAATTATGTCATTAGACATTGATTCATGTTAGAATCACATGCAGCTTCTTCCCTGAATGGTATTCTGCACATTTTTGTCCTCTTAAGATAATGTGTTAGATGACATGGGATTAAGATTGTCAGTAACTATACCTTGATTTAATGTTTTCAATGTATAAAAAAACTGAAAAAATCTCGCTAGTTGTAATTAGCTTGTGTATTTGTGATTTGCATTTTTACATAAATGCATATAATAACATCTTTATGATTTTTTTTTCAGTTGTTGTGTTCCTAGCTATCCATTTGTTAAGTAAACCCAAGCTTTTGACATTTTTTAAAATAATATTTGTAGCTATAAGAACTATTGATTTGCTTGGCAAAGGTGGTATGAGGACATTTTGGCCAATCCATTGGGGGTCTGTAAAAACCACCTAATCCAAATCAAGAGGTTGTTTAAAGGATAAAAAACAAGAAGACTTCCAAGATCTTATGTATAAATGCTAGTTGACTGGCGTTTCATGCTACCTCTGGACTCTCCTCACTGACTAGAATGAGTAAAATCCCAGTCTGAGCGACATTTGGTACCTACCTACATGCAACGCCTGCTTTAAAGTAGACCTTGTATGTAAAAAAAAAAAGAACATTCTAACAGTATACTCAGCTTTACATACTCAGCTTTGATATACGCATATACATTGCCAATATTGTTTCTGTGTAGAGTCCACTTACTATAACATGTGATTCACCCTAGTATTGCCTGATTAATAATTCTCCATTGCTTCTGGTATGCTAATATTCTGATGTGTGTCATAGGTAAACTTCCTTCTGCCCAAAGTCTGGTTGACATAATGTATGACCGAGACTCTCGGTCATTTCTCTCTGTGCAGTCTAATACTAGAAATCATGATATCCTGTCCACTAGCATTTGAAGAGCTGAAAGTGCATTCCAATATTTTTTTAGAAATGTTTGGTTCAAGACTGGAAACATGAAATTGGCTACCGACTTCAGATGATCTACAGGCAAATAGCTAAAAAATAGCAGTAAAAGGAAATACATATAAAGTAACTGTCTTGCTTGCCCAAAAAATTAAATTGTTGTCCACGCAGTCCTGTCCCACAGCACAGCAAGTTGGATAATTTAATTTGCTCTGTTAAAGTTAAAGGATAGAGAGGTGCCACTTCCAACCTACTGATTGGAAAGAAATAATACAATTTGCATGCACTACACCTGATTAGCTTAAGATTAGTTATGCCCCTCCATTTCCCAGGCTGAGTACTGCTGTACAAGAGATTGCAGGAGGCTGATATTAATGAAGTTCAGCTACTTATACTAGGTGCATGTAAAAAAATGTCATACATTATTAATGAATACATTAAGTGCATTAATGTGTGTGTTTTATATCTTCCTGCAGTTAAGATTTAAAGCCGCTCCCCAGGATACATTTCAGAAACTATGACATATGTTTATTAAATGAAATAGAAAAAGTAAAAGGTATAGATGCATTTTACATACCAACATATGCAGTCCGAAATTGTATTAGTTATATCAGTCCCTCTCTCAGTGGAGCTTTCCGCTTATTTGCTATCCCAGGTGCACAAAATCATACATAGTGTTGTAGGCAGAAACCAATTAATCTGTCAGTTTGTCTTTGAACTGTTGGATGTAAACTGAGTACCCTGTGGAAACCTATACAGACACATTATTAAAGTCTCTGGCTCAGCTTATGCAGGTGGAATCCAGATTTTGTATGCCACACCTTTGTACTGCAATACAGATATATAGTACTTTCATTATCTGATGTGATTTGAGCAATTGGTATTTTAAGGCCTTGTTCAGGATAGCATTCAAACATGGAGCTTGGCAGGTGGGTCTACACCCTGTTAAGTCCCCTATGAATATCTTGCCTGGTAAGCTGTACGGAACCAAATGGGTAAGTACAGGTGTAGGTAGGAATGGTGTTGCAACCCCAAGAATTGTATGCAGTGTTTGGCCTGTGACTCGCTAATCTCTCCTATTGCTTCTCCCAGCGGGTTCCAACCCATGATTTCAGCACAAGTGGATTCTTGCCTCAATAACAGTAGTACTGGGTGCTCTTTTGCATCCAGCTTGTGTAAACAGACTGCAATAGGTATCTTTAGGTTTTCAGTTCCATAATCAGAACAGTAGATTAACCCAGTGCTTAAGAATGATAAAAACAGTACAATTCTGTGCTAATAACTACAATTTGTGTTTGGTTTACAGAGTGTCAGACAAACTTAACCTGAAGCAGATGCCACAGAACATTTTTGAGATAAACAGCACAGATTCCAATATAGTCTACGCAGAGAATGGCTCATTGATATCACTAAGTGAACTGGACTCTGCCTTCTTTCAGTTCAGGAAACGGTTGGCAAATGTCACTCTACAGTTTGGAGGAAGCAACACATTTCTTTCCGATGTTCCAAAAACTTCTCGAAAACATATACTTCTGATGGCCACCACACGCACTGGTTCATCTTTTGTAGGCGAATTCTTTAACCAGCAAGGCAATATTTTTTATTTGTTTGAACCTCTTTGGCACATTGAAAGAACTGTGACATTTGAATCTATGGGAGCCAATGCAGTAGGTTCAGCAATTGTGTACAGAGATGTGCTTCAGCAACTTCTTCTGTGTGACCTCTACACCTTAGAGAACTTTATCTCCCCAACTCCTGAAGGCCATCTTACGAGGTTTATGTTCCGTAGGGGCTCCAGCAAGTCCTTATGTGAAGATCCAGTATGCACTCCCTTTGTTAAAAAAGCTTTTGAGAAATACCATTGCAAGAATCGCCGGTGTGGACCTCTGAATATGACGCTGGCAATGGAGGCCTGCTTAAATAAAGATCATGTAGCTATTAAAGCAGTACGCATAAGGCAACTGGAGTTCCTGAAAACTCTTGTAGAAGATCCTCGTCTTGATATGAGAATAATACAGCTTGTGCGTGACCCCAGAGCTGTTTTGGCATCGCGCATGGTAGCTTTCTCTGGAAAATATGAATCATGGAAAAAATGGGCTTTGGAAGGAGCTGCCCCCATACCCGAAGATGAAGTTCAAAAACTGAGGGGTAACTGTGACAACATCCGATTGTCTGCAGAGCTAGGTTTGAGACAACCTAAATGGCTTAGAGGACGGTATATGCTGATACGATATGAAGACATAGCTAGGTTTCCTCTTCAAAAGGCCAAAGAAATGTACAGGTTTGCTGGAATCACACTTACGCCACAAGTAGAAGAATGGATTATCAAAAACACAAAAGCTTCCCATGACAATAGTGGCATTTATTCTACCCAAAAAAACTCCTCAGAACAATTTGAGAAGTGGCGTTTTAGCATACCCTTCAAATTAGCCCAGGTAGTACAGGAAGTCTGTGAACCTGCTATGAGGTTGTTTGGCTACAAATTGGCAAGTGACTTAGAGACACTTACAAACCGATCGATCAGTTTGCTTGAAGACAGGGTTAACTTTTGGGTAACGTAATTTACTCCTATTTGACTTATTTATATTTTAGGAATAAACTGCCATTAAATTTAGTGCTTGAAACAGGGGGAGGCAGATGGGGGGCGGGGGGCAATTTGCACCTGCTGAGCCGCCATGTGCTATCTTAAAAGCCTGTGTGCATTTTTAGTGAATTGCTTCCTAAATTAAGAAGCATTTTTTTCTTTATGCAATATCAGAGAAGAAGCTGAGGCTGACTTTCTGGATTGGCTTTAAAAGTGGATGATTCCTGCTGATGTATAGAAACTGCCGGGAAGAAGGGTTTCTTTCTCTCCCCTCAACAGGCCAATTTGTGAGGCTGAATCCAGTTTTTTTTCTGCACTAAAGAGACACACCCAAAGAGTTCCAGGACTCTGCAGACCTAAATCTGCTATGTTTAGCAGCTTCTCAGAATGTCCAGAACAGCCATACTTTAGATACAAGCAACCTTTCAACCTTTCAAAAGGTATATTTTGTTGGAAGAAAATAGATTTGTGATAATTGCTTACATGGGAAGATAGCATTTGGAAATATTACTAGTAGATGTCTCCTGGATGTGATACAGACATATAAATGCAGTGCATTTGATTGTGAATGAACTTATGTGCTCAGACATTTGCTGCACTTGAAACATACAAGAAATTAATTTCTATAGCCCAGATTTCCAAGAGAATGCAGTTTCACTCCCAGCTTCTGTACTTTTTTATGTGTCTTGATTCCTTGAAATTCTAACATACAGAGTTACTAGAGGTTCTACGTGAAAACAAATAATACTTTACACCAGATAAAGTCAATTGGCACCACCTGTTTCTTACTCTGGTTTGTTCTAACACTCCATAAAGTATGCAAAGACCTCTCACCTGTCTCTTCTGTTCACTAAGGTCTGTCATAAGATAATGAATGCCTTTCAGTAGGACTGCTTAGAGCACATGGCAGAGGGCAACTGGTCTTGTCCAAACATTTATAATTATTTCAATGCAGTGGTTAAACTATAATTTAAATCTTATATGAAGGAGGTTTTTGTTAGATTAGGCTACTTAAGGTCCGGATACTAGTACGCAACTGGCATACCACAAGCTGGGCCAATCTATAGTGCAGGGAGTACTACAGGACCAGACGATGGAAAAAAAAAAACATAGCCAGAAAGGTTTTTCTTTCTTTTTTTAGCATAGATGTTTTACATTACATACTATTGTCTTACCTGTCCCAGTGACCACATACATATTGTAGTGTCTTTAACATTCAGTTCCATTGGGAACTGAGGACCCAAAATTGCTGACTGGGGTCTTTTTCTTGTCCCTCTATTTGGTTATATGTGAATATATGTGTTGATTAAGGTTTTAAACAGTTCTATGTTAAAATTTTAGGGATTTGGGAAATTGAAATGACAATGCAATGGGTTGGTTAAAGGTGCACTTGCTCTAAAAGGAATCAGGTCTGGAAAAATGCATTTTGTGCCATTTTCAGCATTTTAAACCTCATTGTCTAATAGATTAGCCACCAAAATCATCACCTATGCATTACTGAAACATGTTTCTGTGCAACAACATAACTAATTGCTCCACTAAGTTTAACACAAATTTTGTTCTGAGAAATAATAGAATTCCTTAAAAAAAATGAGGACACTGTTCAAAATAGCATCTATTTTTCTCAGCATTCTGTTGGACAATGTAGTGGTGTACTGTCACTGAGGAGTCAGGCATTGAAAGGCTTGTTGAGCAAGGAATTGGAAAGTACCTAAAGATACTCACATACAGGAATTCATAGCAACCATTTAGAGTTCAGTTGACTATAGTCAGCTCAGTTATGATTGGTTACTATCAGTTATGGGTCTTTCCATATAGTGGTTGCTCTTTGTGTACCACAATATGAAATAACTCTGCAAGATTGTACTGATAACTTCATTTCTCAAGAATGTTTATTCATTAAGAAAGAGCAACAGGGAGCAACACACATTATTAAGTAACTCATGAATCTGTGCCCACAGCTGCCAAACTCTTCTTTTCTTTCTCCATTCGTAAAACAACCGAAAGGACAGAAATGGGACTTTCAAGATACCTCCGCAAATTATCTGCCTGTCATTAATCAAAGTTGTTAATATTAATTGTCACAAATCTTAATTAAAAAAACTTTTATTAAAAAGGATCAATGACCATTCTGGTCATACAGCAAGTAAAAAGTCCTGCTAAACCATTACAACCTACTGCTTGACTATTATACATACACATTCAGTGTTAAGTTCATTACTTTTAAAATTTGTAACCTGTTTTGCCACAAACGAGTGATGACAGTGCCTGCGCAGTGGCACAGTGCGGAAGCGTTCCAGGTTGGAAAGTACAAGAGCAAAAAATTATCAGCACACTCATCAAGCCAGCATGCAAAAAACACTGTCTAACTATTAGGGTTGGCACAAGGCAGTGTGGCTTTCACATATTTTGCAAAAGTTGTGCAACTAAAACCTCTGTTTTAAACCTCAATAGTTAGATGGTGAGTGTGCTGGGAAATTTTTGCTCTTGTACTGTGTTAAGACCTTCCATGGGTACCTTGCTTTAGAGCTAGTTATGAATTGATGTATTTGTTTGTCATTTGTTGCACCAGGTTGGAGAGTATCACCACCGTGATGTGTCCCCACACTGAACTTATATGTACATATATGTAGCCTTTTTTTATGAGGTTAAGCCTCTGAACACTGGTGCATTGATATCTATAGTATATAATCAATATTTGAGGGAAAAGTCAAAGTTAATTGCATATTAGTTTGGGTGGCTGTACACATGATTGACATGAGTGTATGCATATATGGAATTTGTATTGTTTTGGCATTTGTTATGAAATGCTTCTGATATAAAGTATGTTGATTAATACTATTTCTGATACAATATGATTGACTTAACTATTTCTTGCAATTCTTCTGATAAAACAAATTAAAAATCTCAGATACACTTTGAGAACTATCCTCACTTGATCCTACTTACAAATTAGTAAAGTAATGGATACAACATTGGATGTGTATGTATAATAGCCAAGCAGTAGGATGTTAGGGTATGGCAGGACTGTTTAATAGTTGCATGACCAGAATTCTAAGTAAATATGTGCATTGATCCCTTTTAATTAAAGTTTTTAAATAAGATTGTGATAAATAATATTAATCATATTGATTATTTTAAAGAATAACAGTTATATTTGATCATAATTTGCGGTGGTACCTTGAAAGTCTCATTTCTGTCCTTTCAATTTTCTGGTTCCGTAATTAGAGTGACACAAGATGATTTGAGGATCTACAGCCGAGTGATACACAAATAAGCTACATTTATGTTAATAGTTAGTTGAATGCATTTTTAAGATTTAACTCCTCAGTTTAGAGTCACTTTAAGGGATGCGGGCCCTTTAGCTGTAACCATTCCTCACATATAGTTATTTTCCTCCAAATGTAGTATAAAGAGTGATATGGAGCTCTGTGTAATTTGGGTTAGAAACTCAATTCTCCTTTTTGATACTTTATAATTCTGCTTTTGAAAATTCTTGCTCTAAAATGTAGACTAAAGCTGATCTGTTTTATTGCATATGGCTGGAGAATAATATTTATTCAGTACAGGTTCATATGACTAAGTTGACAGCTGATTCAGTTTTGTGGGCTATCATGAAATCATGAGTGGTTTTAATTTAGTAAATGTACTACAAGGATGTTATATAATTTAACACCCAGTAAGAATGGAATAATAAAGAGAGGTATTTTAAGAAGTATTCATGTAAATGACTTGGGGTTCTCGGTTTCCTAGTGGAAAATATAGGATGGGGTTAGGGGAGTGAAGGACACTGGTTTATAGCGTAAAGAAAAAATAAAGTGTTTTTTTAAAATACATTTCAGTAACCCTATAGCATTGCTGATGTATTAACCATTTGTTTGGGGACTGTAAGTTAAAGGACCACTCCACCTTAGGTACATTAAATGCTGCTGTAACATAACTTGCCCACACTGACATTCAGTGTTTTCAGATAAGTAATTCTGAATGTATATTTAAAACAATGGGATCTGCATCTACAATAGGGTTATGAGGATGATTTATACATGGATTAGGACTGGAAGTCATTTATGAGGATCAGATAAGTAAGAAGATAGGTCATTACCTTCATTGCATATAATGCACATTTTCTTCAAGGGTAAAGCATGTTAGCTATTTTGATAACTTCCCTGATAAATGTCCCTTTATATTATTTCCCAGCAAGCCTTGCTGAGGTCATTCCTGGCAGTAAGCAGGCTCCTGATTAAGAGAGAGGCCTGTATATACATTGCTTCATACAAGTTCACACTTCCCTCTATGCCATAAATTTACTAGCAAGATAGTTTTCACTGAGTTTGGCCTCTCAAGGGCACTATAATGCCCTCTGTGTATTCCTGATACCAAGACGTCCCTTAAGACCTTTACAGCTCTGAATAAGGACAGAGGCAGCACAGCGCAGTTCTGTTTCCATGAATTAATAAGCATCAAGGTGCAAATCTGTACCTTGTCTTTTCTTCATATATAATTTTCTCAAGATCATACTGTTATAGCATAGTTATAGCATTCATCACGTAGGTGTTGTACTCTGTGCTTTACACTAATGGTGTGTCCTTAAGAAACCCGGACAAGTAGGGACAGCTTGTAAATTTCTCTTTAGATTTATGTTGGAGAGGTGAGATTCAGAGCCACTGTGGGTAACCACTTTCTCCTACAATAATACACAGTATTACTGGTGATCTAGATCCAGCACTCATTACTTCTATACTCAACAAACACAAGCATTAAAACTAAATGCATTTTTAAAAATATATTAGAAATCTAAAAAAAAAAAAAAAAGCTTAAATGTAGCAACCATTTACCTTTTGCTTATTCTGCGTGAAGCATGTAATAGAAATTGTTTATCTTACTGGCTGTTAATGCCTGTGACAATATAGTGGTTTCTGTGTTAATGCAACCAACAGGCTTGCTGGATTCCATATGTATGTGTCAGCATGACATTTACCTGTTGATGGCTGCCAGTCGAACACGGTATTATGTAGTCATTGTAAATCATTTCTGCTTTGGTTTAGAAGATAGACTGTTTAAAGAGTAGGGGTGTCCAAAACTGATTTGCCATTCACCTGTTAATAAACAGGGTTATTCACAAAAGGGTGAAGAGTTTGGAGAAGGCAGGAGAAGTGAACAATGGAGGACAACATAACTGAACTGGAATTTTTCCAAAACAGCTATTTTGGCCTATTGCTCCTGCCTTCTCCAAACTCTTCACCCTTTTGTGAATAACCGTGTAAAAAACTTTACTGTGATAGGAAATTCAAATCCAGGCCTTGTCCCTCACCCCCCTTCACTTTTCCATGCACAAAAGAGTACATTTTACTATAT